AAATCTGTCTCGTCTCGTCGTAATCAACGATATTGAAAAGCAAAAATCCTCTGTAGTCCGCACCCGTAGATAGTCCGCAGTCCGCACAGCCTAAAATTTCGACTTTTAAACATGTATACAACTTTCCAAAAAACACTCGACCCCAGGTGCAGCAAACCGTTTTCAAGCCCAGTCACTGGGTCTGAGGTTAGACTCTCACCGGCGTCCCTGTTAACCTTAACCGAGTGCACTGTGATTTCGATAGGTGCAGCCTGCGTAGGCGCAGTTTCAAACACTGCTGGTGGCTGAATTCTCGTCTTTTCCCGCTGTATTTTGTGTTTCATGGTGCATGTATTTTCCCGAAATCATTGAGAAAGCATTGTACCACATTTGAAAAAATCAAAAAGCAATAAAAAAAACCTATAAACTATTTTTGTTGGGTGTGCGCGCGACAACGAATGTGACTGGAGTGTATAGTTCTAGTTTTTTTGTTTTAGTTTTTTTACGATAAGTTTTGATAATGCAGCGCGATTCGCCTTACGTCAAACGACAAAGCGCTTAGCTGTCGAAAATAATTTACAACAGAAAATAGCCGAAAGGCATGCATTTTTCACGCTCACAAATATTGTGTTTACCGATGGACAGGTCATGGACATACAATTTAGCAAGTGTTAACATTCAAACAATACATTGTACGTGCCACACGATGCAGCGTTATCCAACAAGAATTTATTTGAGAAAGATCTCAAATAACACAGTCATAGTCGATGACAGTCACATCTTGACGATCGGACGGAATCCGAGCTGACTTCGTTTTGGGGCACGTTTTGGGGAGAGCTTCCTTTTTTTACAACAGCACCAAGGCAAGGAACGAACGCGACTGACCTGTTTCCCACCCCAACCCGGTCAACTATTTTTGGAGATGACTGAGGATTCTACGCGGATTATCTCTGGGAGGGGGGAGAACAATGTTAGAAAAATTGCGCCGAGGGCCGTTCGACGTCCTTCACCTCCTTCGTTTCCCGTGAGTGTCGAGCAGAAAAGCTTGAATGGCAGGCACTTACCAGCCTTATTTCTCATAGTGGAGGATGACACAGAAGGGTACGCAGCACGCATAAAAAAAATATTAAGGGTGAACTTTCAAGAGGGGTTAGAAAACGTCCAATGCAAAACCGCAAAAACATAGGTAGAGAATCGCGCTGAGCAGCTCTTCACAGTCCAAGAGAGTGGCAGAAAATCTCTAGCTGATAGAGGGCTTGAGAATCGCACCAGCCGCATCAGCATTAGCAACATGGTGGCGGCCTAGGAGCGTTTTTTGGAAAGGTGTATAGTCTGTGGACTATAGCCTGGTAAACAGGTACTCAGATTCCATAAAACTTCCTTTATTACAAATAATATCCAAAAAGCAAAAAGTGTCATCCTTGCCTGGCTAGTAGTCTATTAGCCCCGAGAAGTTTGTGTGGTGCCCCCTTACGGCAAACCAGGGTGACGTCACGGCGAGGACCGAATTTTACGACTCGCCCCGCTCGCCTTGTGGAGGCCGTAACGGCGTTAGCTGTCGGCACGCTCGTTTCTATTTACTTTTTTTTTTTTTTCGGTCTTCGTAGCAAGTGTGAATTTGAATAATAGTAATAATAATAATAATATTAGTTTATTTCCATGAGGCATGGTGGAGCAAAGGGTAAAAGCCTCAAAGGAGGCTTGACCAGCCCTCGGCCCCGTACATTGGCACTGCAGCAAAAATGTGCACGAGATTACAAAACAGTTATTAATCACCTAAACAGATTGCATGCACGGTCGTTGCAGACAGTAATCTAAAAAAAACACAAAAGAGTGCCTTCTATATAGTATAAACAAATTTAAAGTGGGAAAGGTAAATCACTGCTACAGAAAAAAAGAACGCAAAGCCTTGAAATAGATAGTGTCAATGCAAATGTCTTTTTCTAGAAGGAAATTTAACAGTTTTGGTATGGTATATCGCAGCATTTGCGCACCATAGTTAGTAGAAAAGTAGACAACCTTTCAATACTTCATGTGTCTAGTTAAAGGGGCCCTGCAATGACTATTTTACTGGTTTTTAATTTGCACCAAACCTGAGCGCACTGAACGTAGCAACTTAGTGAAACCTTTCTTTTCTCAAAATTCGCTTTATTTTATAAGTTATAGGTAAATTAAAATTACAAAAACAAGCAAAAAATAACCTCCCTCATGATGTCCTTGGTTGCTTGAGCGGCCGTGAGCTAGGCGAGGGATAGTGAGCTCAGCGACCACTCACCGCTGCCGCACTCCGTGTTGACGGCGCGAGAGGGTGCCACTAAAGCATGTTCTGGATAGACTGTATGCAGTGGGCAGCCAGAGCGGCTCTCATTGCATTTGCTGCGTGATTAAACACTAATTCGGCATGACACTTCATCGGCCACAAACGACAGCAAACACGAGGTAAAGATCAGTTCAGAATGGGAGCCACTTCGCACTGCCATACCGTGAAACGGCTGAACCGCAAAACAAAGCTTCTCGCCGAAGGCTTTCGGAACGCTCGGAGACGGTCGGATCCTCCTGTTCATACGACCACAGCGCCGCCACGTACATCCGAGACCTTTCCGTGTCGGCGCCTGATCCCACTTCTCCTTTCGAGTATGCGCCGCCTTTTCCACCGCTTGGTGGCAGGTATGTCGATGGGTCATTTCTTGTGTCCGTGCTTTATAAACTGCATTTGTTTCTTTTCTGATCTAAAATACTAAACAAAAACTACTTTTATAAATAATTGAAACGGTTCGTGCCACTTATATTTTGTATTTCGACTGAAAAGAACCTTTTAGCGGCTCTGACCAGTACTAAGCCCAGGACCAAAGACGTCAGATTTCGCGCGCTTTTGGTACCGCGGGTCACCCTAGTCGGTGGAGGAGGTTTCCGCGTCGTCCGGTTAAAATATGACGCATTGATATTTAGTTACTCGCTCCGTGCCCGCTGGCTTGCCCGAACCCCAAGAGACGTGGAAACCGCAAAAAAGGTACACGCCTAAATATGATTGCAGGGCCCCTTTAAGTGAATGTCTATATTTCATATGTGGTTTTATTGAGGTATAGCATGGAGCTGCAGGCGAAACGAACCAACATTTCTGGCATGCTTGGCAGGGCAGGCAGTGCATGAAACACAGCTGCATGGTATATGAAAATAAAGAAATGGGGACACACTTGCAGGAGCATAACGATAGATTTACATCTCACACAATCAATGCTGCTGGTGGTCTGAATGAATTTGACTTTGGTCTTTGGTCCTGGGCTTAGTACTGGTCAGAGCCGCTAAAAGGTCCTTTTCAGTCGAAATACAAAATATAAATCCTATTTCGTTTTTTTTTTTTTTATACAATAACGCCAAAGTAGAAGAGCTCTGCATGCTGCTCGAGCAACATATAAAGGATAGTCTGGGCCATGGAGAGAGAATCACAAATGAAACAGACTAAGTACAGGGCAAAGTAAAGAAAGAAGGAACACGGGCATATAAAAGTTACTTATTTATATCTGTTTACATTACTCGCATCACCTTTGCTGGATTCGGATGGTATTTCAATGAACTCCATGGTGGCATCTGTGGACTTGTTTATAATATCCCTTAAGTAATGCCCAACAAACATAGACGGAGGTGTTTAGCCCGGTATTATTTCCTTCTCGACAATTTACATTTTACAGGCTCCAAAATTGAGATTTTAGCTAAATAAAATTGTCCTTTAGCTAAAACACCAGAAGCGTTTCTCACACAAACTGTCACCCTGCACAGGTTTCACATTTTCTGCAACTAGTGAAGCATCTTCCCCTGTACAGCCGTTCGAATGCTTGCTGTTCCTCCTGTTTCTCTTTGTTTTCGGAGAGAAAGGCCTTCAGACCCAGGGCCTTCAATGCATCTGCGAACCAGCGCATGCAGAGTGGCCCGCGCATGGTCGGGTCGCTAGCTAATTTGTACACCGCCCAAAGGCTTTACATATAAATGTAATTTGAATTGCCCGCAGAGCAAGGTGTGATATTCTCCTTACTCATAAACATGCAAGAAATAGAATTTCAGCGTTTGAAACACTTACGCCACTGCCTCACCGACTGCTCACACGATCGCCTTATGCCGTGTGGACAGACAAGGAGGTTCATCGGCTGAATTGCCTTTTGGCACTTTTAACCTAATTATAAAAGTAAAAGTGAAAAACGCACTAGAAAATGTACGGAGGCACGTTGGTGTCGGTCTTACCCAGCATCTTGCACACCAAATAAACGTAGTCCCACTCTTGGAAGAGTTTGCGGCACACAACGGCCGACATTGACGATGCCTTTTCCATTCTTAGTTTGATTGTCCACGCTTTCTTTAACCTCGACGTCTTCGGGCAGTGAAAGCTGATACCAGCTTCTTTTCGGGATTTGCATTGCGGCACTGAACAGTAGGTCAGCATGATTGCAAACCAGAAAATGGGGGCAGGGAAGCGAGCAGGATGCGAGATCGTGAAACAGTCCTTCCCCTGACGTCACGGTACACGTTGCCCCATTAAGGGCGCAGTGATCGCAGCGACGCTTGTGTTTGCTCTGGGGGATAATAGCCTCAAATATAGTTAGGTTCAATGCATGCTTTATAAAAAAGAATTTAATTTTTTAATGTATTTTTTTTAATATTTTGTAGAGGGTATTGACGCCACTTGAGAATGTAGGATATAAACTCAAATTTATTTAAAATCATGATCAAAACTTTCGCCAGAGTGTTACTTCGGCAAACTTTGGCAGATCGCGTGCCTACACAGCGCAGTCATAGATACATAAGAAAGCATGCTGTTCGCTCCTGTAGTGTTTGCCTCGCTTGCGCATTATGTAAAAAGGTCGGCGAGCAGCTGATGGAGCACATGTCAGAATAAGCATGACTTGTGCTTAGCACATTCGGACGGCTCTTGAAGGTGCAAATGGAGTGGTGCCGTCGGACGGCACTTGGACGCTCTTCAAGGGTGCCGTGAGACGGCTCTCTTGACACAGCCTTTTTTTTTCTTTCAGACGCAAGTGGGCAGAAGGGCGAGGACCAGTGTGCACTCTTCCATTCCAACAGGTGAAAATGTGGGCAGGACCCAGGAGCCCCGTATGGTAGGGCTATGCAGAAATGGACTGGGGGTGGGGCCTGTGCCATGCTATGTTAAAACCATGTTTGTTTATACTTGTACTAATATCAACGTTCGACTTTACAACAAGTACACATGGGGGCGACACATGCCCTCCTTCTTCAATTATGCACATAGAAACAAACGTGCTATCCTACTCTATGTGTAAATGCGACTGTAGTGAAGTTATATATGAAAAAACTGACCTTGGTATGTGCCGGTTCTACTGTACATGTCTGTTTTCGTTCTGCAATTTGTATGGAAGACTTTGTGCATCCACTTTATGTAAAAGAGCTTAAAGGGCAACTCCGCTCAATTCCGAAGATTTCGGGATAATGAGTGATTTCACATTAAAAAGCACTAGCAAAAGATACTACGTCATTTGCTTTGCAAAAAATGGGATATGTATTGGTATACCTAAAACATGAGCAGAGGTAAAAACCAAAACTTTGGCTCCGTCTGGCAACATGGGCCTTAAGCTGCCAAGAACATGTCTATCCCGTGGTTCGAGATGTCACGTGATCCGCAACGCGACGATGTGCGGGATTGGGGCGGGCGTGTGTTAGGCGCAAGTGCTGTCTGCACCGCACTCTTCACCACGTTTTGGTGCCTACGACATTCGACGACGTTTGCACAACTGCGACATAAGTGTGTGCACATAGTGTCTGTAGTGTGAACAGAACTCCAAGAGATAATAATCACAAATGGTGAGGAAGTGACGGCAATTGGGAGGCAGGAGGCGGCGGCGGCGGGACGGTGCCAAAGAAGCGCGCTGCGCAGGCGCGTTACGACAATCTCATGGACGACGCTGAGCGCTGAGAGGAAACGTTGCTGACGAAACTTGTTATGTTTACCCGGAGAAGTAAAAACGAGCAAATAGGGACAACGGTGATGACGTTTAGTTCAATATTAGCTTCACCTACGCCGTGGCCTTGACTCCACTGTTGGTCGCGCCTCAATTCGTTTGCTCGAGTCGGGCGATTTCGGTAACTTGGCGAGTTGCAAAGTTTGCCGGACCGTTTAAGAAACATTTAGACAGAACTTGGTCGTAATATTCGACGTGTGGTCTTCTTAGGTGATACTGAAGAGGAGTGCATTGTTTTTTTCAAAAACAATAATGAAGCGGAGTTGCCCTTTAAGGAGCATGTCAGCACAGATCTCGAGCACAAAGCTTTTAATTTCTGGAAATGAAAGAAACGTGAAAATACTGATACTAGATATTGGCACCGCTCAACACTTCTCAGTCAGCAGGGCTATTTATTTTTCACAAATATTTTCTGCAGCAGCACTGTCTTTTGTGCCAGTAGACGCTTGAGATTCTGCCACCTCGTTTGCATAAATAGTACTCGACTAACACCACCTCGATGAACGAGGCCTTAGAGCTCTTAGTATGTGTGCTTCCAATCTTGCGGCAATGGGGAAACACTTCCAGAGACGCCGGTGGCTGCACTGAAGTGCCTCAATGCAAACACTCAATTTCCAGACGTGTTTCTTTTTTTTTTTTTGTATTTGCACATGAAAACCGTCAGTTCTTTGTTGCAAATGCTCATTTCAGTTGTGTGGACTTTTGAATGTTCTTGTAAAACTACAAGATTAATATTTTACTTGTGGAACAGGTGTCTACGTTCCCGCTTAAAGGTAGACTGAACTGAATGTTAGATTTTGCAAAATAAGGCCGCAGAATTGTTAAACGAGACATTACAAACTCCAATACATCACTCCTACATCGATATATCCAACGGATGGCCATATTTTTTTTATAAAAAGGACGTGATCAAGCAAGGACTGTTATGTCACAATCCTCCTGGAACAGTTGAGAATGTGGGGAAGCAACCTTGTTTCTCTCCTTGCTTTGGTTCACCTGCTCCAAGGGACAAAGTGAACAGGAGAGGGAATGAGAATCGTGACGTCGCATTTCTCGTCGGCGTCGTCGGCCATGTTCAATCGCACACTTCTTTTCCAAAAATACGGCCATCCATTAGAGGTACCGCTGTATGAGTGATGTTCTTGAGTTTTGCAGCGTCCCACCTATCGCTCCAGCCTTGTTTCGTGAGCTCGAAATTTCGGTTCAGCATCCATTTAAGCTGCAAGAGTTTGCACCGTGAAATCTTGGAGTCGTTCAGTGCTTGTCGTGGCTTCTTTTCAAAAGTCGGTGTTTATGTTCTAGCCACTTGTTGGCAGTGTGCAAGTGCCTGAGGATTGCCACAATTATATGACATTAATGTCAACATGCGAGAACTACAGATTGAGAATGAAAGTGAATGTGTTTCTGTTTCTCCGAGACAAAGCGTTGTGGAAGGTATGGATATCATCTATACCAGGGATCAGATTTCAGTCATAGTATGAGCAAGAGCATTCTAGGTTGCTGATAGAATGTGGCACCACAGCTTGCACGTAATCATTCAATGAGACATTTTGGACCTGTTCACGAGTTCACAATCGGGCAATATTTTAGTAAGAACATCTCACCAACATACAAGTAGCAAGAGATGTCTCGATGCCTTTGGTAAGCCTTTTGCGAATACTCCTTCATCTTCTGGTCAATGTCAGCCTGCATATAGCAACAGTATACAACTTGACATTTGCAAACAAAGTGCAGGTTCTCAATGGGTTCCAACGTGAAATAGCAGACGGTCAGAATTGCAGCCTGCATCCGATCTCACTTCGTCACGGCGCTCGTTTTGTAGCAGACAATGACTTTTTTATGGTCTGTTAGCAGATTACGTACGGCATTTTCTTGTTTTGTTTCCATCCGCAAATGGCACTTCGTGGCAGACAAATCGCGTTTTCCCGATCGCATTAGCGGACGAATTGTCTATGAACGTTATTTTCGCTTGCTCCTTGAGTGTCAAGTTAGATTTCACTCTTGCTCTAGCAGTGACCAAAATCCGACCCCAGGAAAGGATTTTGGTTATTCTAAGCACTTCGGGGAGAGAACTTCCTGACCTCTGCTAATTGTTGTTTCTCTTGCAAAATGCAAATCATTTAGTGACATTGTCGCGAGGGACTCGAAACACTACTCTCAAATAAGACTCTTTGCCTAACGTTTTATAATCAATTCAGAGAAGGAGCTGTGATTTATACCAAGACAAAATCATCTCTCGAGTTGCGCGAGCTTCATTTCACAGACGGCGACGTTGTCAGACAGATTTCTGTTGTCTACGTCGCTGGCAGGCGAGTGGTAAATGCACCGTGCGGTCCCATCCGTTTCGTCGCCCAGATGCCGTTCCATAACCCTACCTGGAATGCGCCTTCAACTGGTGCGTCTACCGTGTCCCTAAAAGTGGCTTCTCGATTTCCACCTGGGGACGTCTTAAAAGTGTCACATCGTCGCTGGCCGCAATCATGGTGGCGTCACATCAGCGGCGGTAGATGTGGCAGACGCCTGCTCTGCTGCAGGTCGCTCTCCGGCTTGACAGCCAGGAGTCGGGGTGCCTTGACGACGGCGACACTTGCCGTCGCTCATACCTTTTTCTGGGACTTCTAGCACTGACCGCCAGGATCGGGACGTCCGACAGTGCGACGCACCCACTTTTGCGACGTCGTTCGTTGCCACTTTGGGGCCACCTTTTGACGCGTGGGCGGGATGGGACCTCGAACGTACCAGTTGAAGACGCATTCCAGGCTCTGCGGTTCCGTTGGTTTCCAGGCTGTCAGGGTTACTCGTAGAGTTACGACACTGTGAAAAAGGCCCTGGTCTCGAGGCGATTGTGTCTGAATGCTGCTGCTAGTTCACCGAGGAGTCCATCGAGATGTCTTGCAGGGACGGAAAAGCAGGCAGGGTTCTTGGCGTAAAAGCCGATCGTGTTGGAAGCGAGCGATCCGTGTTCTCTCGTAACTTTGAATTTGACAGATGTCTCATTTTGGTGTGTATTGTTTAAGGTCAAGTACCGTGGTGTTAAAGGGGCCCTGCGAGGACTTTTTTTACTGGTTCTTAATTTGCACCGAACCTGAGCGCACTGAATGTAGTAACTTAATAAAACTTTTCTTTTCTCGAATTTCGCTTTATTTTAAAAGTTGTAGGCAAATTAAAATTACAAAACCAAGCAAAAAATAACCTCCTTCATGACGTCCTTTGTTACTTGACTAGCCGTGAACTAGAAAAGGGGTAGTGAGCTCAGCGAGCACTCACGGCTGCCGCACTCCGTGTCGACGGCTCGGGGCGCCACTAAAGCATGTTCTGGATAGGCTGTATGAAGCGGGCAGCCAGGGCTGCTCACATTGTGTTTGCTGCGCGATTAAACACTTATTCGGCATGAGACTTCATTAGCCACAAACGACAGCAAACACGGGGTAAAGATCAGTTCTGAACGAAAGCCACTTCATGCTGCCATACCGCCAAAAGGCCAAACCGCAAGCCAAAGCTGCTTGCTGAAGGCCTTGGGAGGGTGAGGAACCGATCGGATCCTCCAGTTCGCACGACGGCAGCGCCGCCGCATACATCCGGGATCTTTCTACGCTCGCCGCTCGTTGGCGCCTGATCCCACTACAGCTTTCTAGTATGCGCCGCCTTTTCCATCACTTGGTGGCGGTTATGTCAACGGGTAATTTCTTGTTTCCATACTTTCTAAACTGCATTTGTTTCTTTTCAGATCTAAAATAGTGAACAAAAACTACTTTTATAAATAATTGAAACGGTTTGCGACACTTATAATTTGTATTTCGACAAAAAAGAAGCTTTTAGCGGCTCTGGCCAGTAGTCAGCCCAGGACCTAAGACGTCACATATCGCGCGCTTTCGGCACCGCAAGTCGCCCCCGTAGGTAGAGGAGGTTTCCGCGTCGTCCGGTTAAAATATGATGCACTGATATTTAGTTACTCTCTCCGTGCCCGCTGACTTGCCCGAACCCCGAGGAACGTGGTAACCGCAAAAAAGGTAGGCACTTAAATATGATTGCAGGGCCCCTTTAAACTGTCAACTCTCCCGAAACGTATGAATTGTTTATACTAACATTAATTTTAAAGAAACGAAGTGCTAAAACTGTGGGAAGTAAATAAATTGTGTTGTGCTCGGCTCTTCGTACACAGAAAACCATTGGGAAACATGACATTAACTACCTGTTCAAAAACATCTGTATTCAAAGTTTAAAAAAAAAAAAGTATTTCGGACCAACTCGCCTGTTTAAGAAATGACTTCTACATCCAATGTTCCTCATAATTCACATTTTAAATGAGTCAACAATCAATACAGTTTAAATGAGTCGACAACAGGTCAACATTGCATGTCTCTTCCCATTTTATGATGTCGAGGGAGGCACGCCAAAGCTGTCCAGGTGGTGTGGGCTCCACTAGGGTGCCTTCACGCACACTTTCATTTTCATCGCACCGCTTTGGTTTCTTTTTTCGCTCAGAGGCAAACGAAAGAGCGCCTCTTGGCACAAATGTTTAGCGCTCGCTGTGTTACGACGACGTTTAGTCCTCAGCTTTTTTTGTTTATTTTCCTCGGCTCGACCGAAGTTGCAACAGCTCCGTTGCGGTGCATTGGAGCGTGCCGTACGACGGTTCCTTTCCAGAATCGTTCTGGTCACGCTGGCTCCGTCCCATCCGATCCTGAGGGAAGGAAAGACGGCGACCAAGGTGAACTTCCAAGTGAACGAGAAACTCAACCGCCTCTCCAACCAAGTCTCCGGCAAGTGGAAAAGGGTGAGTGTTCCCGACACCAGTGGTGCAGAGCGTCCGACAAATGTCGACAAGTACAACCATTGTTGCCAGGTGCTTAACTGCAGCTTCAAGGTATAGACGCACCTGCAAGGTTGCGTCGGCTTCCGTAGTCGCCGACAGTCTAAGGGACGCGGGACACGGTAAGTCCCAGAGGTCTCATTATCATTCCGCAGCAAATCACATGGCGGCATTCAGCCGACGACACCGAAGGACAAATCCCGAAAGGAGCAGCGTGACCCTAATGGGCCACACCTTGCGTTTTTTAAACTGTCGGTGACGATAGTGCACATTAGGTTTCTGAAGTTGCATCTCGATTTAACCTTGCCCAGAGGTTTTAGCCTAAGGCCTTAAAACAAGGCTTTTGCTCGAGAGGCCTTCGTCGCGTCGTTAATACGTGCTTCACACGCCGGTGCACATGTCGTTGTAAATATGAATAATGCGAACAAAATGTTGTTCATTAGAGACATGCAAATGATTTGCGCGAAGAGTGTACCATAGATGCCCGCACGGGCCGACATGTTGGATTTCAGCCCAGCCCGACCCGCTGTCTCTTGGGCCGCCCACGGCCCGCCATTCGTTTTTGACAACCGGCCTGGCACTAATTTTCATGGGCCCATTGAGGCCCGCTTCTTTTCTCCCAGTACTAATAATGTACAAATTGTGAGGCAGCTCGCTCGCCACTGCTACATGTGTTGACTACTGCACCCGAGAGTCAGTGCTGTAAGCATCTTTTTTGCTGTTATTTTTTGTTTGACCATTGTGCAAGCCCATGTACCCCGTTACAAAAAAAAAAAGGAAAAAAAAAAAAGAAATCATTTTGTTTTTTCTACGACCAGACCCGCATATTGAAAAGGAGGGAGAAATAAAAACGCCAAGCAACAGTAAACGAAACCATGTACTAAAGTTGAAAAGGGCATGTCGCGACGGTCTTGGACAAAGCACTGGCAAAGTTCTAAATTGCCCGCTGGCGCTATTCCCAACCTAAAAAAAAAAAATGGAAAAAATATGGCTGTCTCTTGCGGTGGTCTTTGAGAAATTGTTTAGGAAGAGCCTCGAGGGAGCCCCTTCACCCATACCGTGAACGCACGCCCTCGTACCTACAGATGGTTTACGCTTGCTAGGATGATGTTTTGGAGTTCGTAGCGTCCCGTTCAACGCTTCTACGGCCTATTTTACGAAATCCAAATTTCTGTTCAGCATCCCTTTAAAGGGGCGATACAACAATTTCAGCTTCGAAAGAATTCCCAGTTTTTAATGTTTACATTGTTTATCTTACCAAAAGGAATAAAGAAACTGCCTCATTCTTTTTGAAATATTGCGATTCCATTGCACAATAGCAAAGCAAAGAGCGGGGAAATATTGCATATTGGAGCCGCAGGTTGGCGGCCATGGGAGCTAAGGCGTGATGCCAACCTGGGTGCGTTGTAATAGGTTAGCAAGATGTGCCATTATGTGCTGAATCTAAGGCTATTTTTTATAAATATTCTTGTCTCAACACGAGTAAATGCATCAAAAGCCTCATATCACCGATAAAATCATATTAAATTCAGTTTTAGTGGTGCCATCAGCCCGAGGTGAACAAACCCATTCCTCTCGCGAGTCTCACCCCGTCACTGCTACATCCAGGGGCAGATACAAGGGAGGGGCAACGGGGGCGGCTCCCCCCCCCCCCAAAAAAAAGAGTTCTGGATCTGCCCTTCACTACATCAGTCCCACTTCCTTACAACAAGGCAAGCACTTCGCCTCGCCCCCTCTCCGCATCACTCAGACCAACCTTCAAGGTCGCTGACACACTTGCCGCCATTAGGTTGCTTCAAGTTGGTTGGTTGCGGTTTCAACTTGCACGTGGCTGTGTTGCTGTTTTATGTCATTTTTGCTTAATTTTGTGATGCAAATGTGTCTTTTGTAGCCCACAACCATTTAAACAGTGCTACTGGGGCGCTTTGAAAACTGCAATATGGTTTTGTGCCTAAAAGAAAAACAACCAATGTACGGGGAAGATTACCATTGTCTTCCCCTGGAAATTAGTGTGTACGGCCGTACTTAAGACACTAATTTCCAGAAAAATAAACTAATGAAGAGACTAATATACATGAATGTGAAGAAGCAGGTCGACAGCTCAGTTAGTAATGTGCTGAATCGGGAAGAACTGACGAACTCCCGAGCTTACTACCCACTGTTTAGTTTTGTGGACACCCAAGTTTTAGGGAACTTTGCAGACAGTCTCACATAATGATGCAGAGAATTTATAAAAACAAGTAATATTGTCTCAAACTGTTTTATATTTAAAAAAAATAAGTACTTGAAAAAAATTCTGAATCTGACCTATATAGGCCAAGTAGGAAATGTCCTTAATTATCAGCTCTGTTAAAGAACTCATTAGCAGCATTTCACAGTATTGTCCCTAGGAAAATAACTATTTTTATATGAACATTTGCTTACAGCGTACTCACAATATGGTATAAGTGGCAGGCCAGTCAAATTAAATCTGACATTTATCTTCCTTAAAATTGGCCAAATAAAATTGAAGGAGCTGTGCAACAATTTCAGTGCTTTGCTTAAATAATTTGGGTCTTGGTGTCTCGACCTTACTGAAGTAAAAAACAAAAACTGTTTTTGTCTGCATGTCCCAGTTTGTATTTCAAAAATGGACATAGATTGAGGCTTTCGGCACCTCTCAACACCTTCACCATCTTCCGAGTCACGTGCGCTGTGATGTGAAAGGGGGACGTGCGGGGTTCCGGCACTTTCTTTCTAGAGCCATCAGTGAGCAACGAGAACTCGCCCGCTTGCAACCACGTGGCCGGGTTTTTGCGCAGCGCAATCAACATGACGAAAGGAGGAAAGTGCCAACGTCTGGGTCCGGCCATCCCCATCTGGCTCTGCCCCCATCCCCCTCCAACTTCTGGCGGCTGTTTGCGGTAGCAGATAGGGCTGACGGTCTTGTTGACCTCAGATAGATGGCGCCAGTAAAACTCCGTACAATAAAAGTTTTGTCGTTGATTACCAGGTTTTTGATGCATTTATAGTTATGTTGGAATGACAAGATTTATAGAAAAATTACCTTTTATCTAGCAGGTACTTGCACAACTTGCTATCTTTTTATGAGTCCCCCATTGACGTAATGCTGCGTGGTTCTCACGGCCGCCGTTCGTGGCTCCAGGTCGGGAAATATTCTGATTTTTGCCTCGCGAATACGCGGCAGAATTGCAACTTTCACTGCGGAGCTGTTAAGGGCTAGGTTCCCCAGGATCGTGTCTGGTACCAAACAAATGACACAAAACTCTGGACAGCTACCGCCATCTATGAGCAACGGCGGCAACCAGACAACCGGCTTCCCTCCTCGCTCGTCGCTCGAGCCTTTCCACTCCGGTTTTTACTAGAGTGAAAAGCTGAATTTCTCTATGCATCGTCCTAGATGTCGTCCTCAAGGTCATCTTAGAAGTCGTCCTTGAGGTCATCCTAGACGTTGCCTTGAGGCTGTTGAGAGGTAGTCCTTGAGGTTGTCCTAGAAGTCATCTTTGAGGTCATCCCTGAGGTCGTCCTAAACGTCGTCTTTAAAGTCGTCCCTGAGGTTGTCCTAGAAGTCGTCCTTGAGGTCTTCCTTGAGGTCGTCCTCTAGGCGTCATCCTTGAGGTCGTCCAAGAAGTCGTCCTTGAGGTCGTCCTTGAGGTCGTCCCACCATAGTACAGCTTCGCTGGTCTTCCTTCTTCCCCAGAGTGGAAAGGCTGAAAGTTTTTGAATCAAGATGTGTTTTCTGTTCTTTGTGACTAGATAAACAATGTGAAAAGTAGGAGATGCGAATTCTTTCAACGTTAAAATCGCTGCGCAGCTCTCTAAAGGGTGCAGGAAAGTACCTTGACAAGTTTAGCTGAAGTCTAACGCTAAGCGTCACTTTATGGACCTGTGTAAACATATCTTTACTTGTTTGAACAGATGTGCTTTGTAAATTTTGACGTCGCCCACTAAATGTAAATCTCTATTCGCCATTGACAATGCTGGACTCGGCTGATTTTTACACAGACGGCTTATTTTTGCGGCGTCAATTATTGAGGACTCCAGACACTGCCAAGTGTTAGAACGGCATATGCAAAACCTCTGTGCACACTAGAAAAAAAGAAAAAAAAAGTTGTTGATAGTGCGTTTGTGTTGAGCCCAAACAGTTTTGGATTGGCACAGGAAGGTGACGCTATTTCCTTGCATACACTATTCTAAAACTCGCTACTCAAGCTATCGGTGAGTTTTCTACACGAGAAGTCCCAACTTTTGTGTTAAAATAAATTACCGTATTTACTCGAATGTAACGCGACCACGATTGTAACGCAAAAACTGACTTTTCACAGCGCAAAAAAAAAAAAAAGAACACGAATGTAACGCGAGTTAAGTGAGGGGAAAAAAGTACCTTAAAAAGTACTACAACGTGGTCCGCGGAAGCCTTTTCGGTTGGGTTCACACTTGAAGAGCACTTCACGATGGAGCCTCCACCTACGTATAGTCGATTCTGTCACACCTACCCGTCGAGCCACGGCAGAGTTTCCGATTTCCTCAGCCATCATAATTGCACTTCTTTTAAAGCGGGCATCGTACTGAGCTCGTCGCGTCGCCATTTGCTCGAGTCCAGTCGCTGAAGCACGTAGCAGCAGCTCACAAAACACGGACAACACGGGCACATGGATATGGTAACCCTAACAGAAAGAGAAAGCATTGTTAAGGTAACCTGTAACTCTAATATGGGCGCAACGAGTCGCAAACAAGAATAGGATTGGATTGGCTGTTTCCAGCGTGTATATGTTGCCAGAAAAAATTGAACAATAGCGAGATTTGTCATAGCCATTTTAAAGAGTCTGTGCTGCGACACCGCCAAGGCAAATTTTGAGGCGTTTCGATTATAACACGAACCCTCAAATTAGGTAAGGGAAATTTGAAAAAAAACTTGCGTTACGTTCGAGTAAATACGGTAATTAAATTGAACTGGTTATTTAAGGGGTACGGAAACCAAATTCTGGATCTCATCTTTGCTTAAACATGATTTCGCTCCTTGTCTTTGTTATTATCATTCCCTCCTGTATGCACTCAGGGTGACATGAAACAAAGCAATGGAACAGAATTTTCTGAGTAGCGTCAAAGGAGCAGCACAAACGTGAGTGCTTGAAAGCCTCTCTTCATATCAGTGGCGGTCGAGTGGCCAGCCTCATGGCCTGTATGTAGTTTTGAAACACTGCTGCTAGATGGCACAAAATATGTACAAGGGTCTATTGGTCACTTTTGTATTCACGGCAAAAGCAAACCTGCCTTGGAACACGGCCTCTTACATTGGATGATAAGCCTGCCTCGAAGATGGGACCGCCATTTGTGGTCTGTTAGGAATTTGCCGAGAATATTAAATGGTATGTGAGCCTCATTAGGGTCAGGTTGCAGTCTTATCGAAAGTTATATACAATCCATTTCACACCACTTAGTGTAGCATTGTATAAACGGTGACCTACTCTTCGGTCGGGTCAGGTACAAAAGTGCTGTTGTAATAACCATATGTTGTTTATGCCACAGCTTTATCTTCAGCCAGATTTGTTGGTAAAATAGTGCATAGTACTATTTACTAACTATTTGACTGGGCAAACTCCTGGAACATGTCATTTTCCTTTATGTTGTATCTTTTCTCGAAACTACTACATAGTTCCTTTTCAGAAAAAGCGTCTTTAGTGAAAATTAGCTTCATGTCTTTACTACCGTTACATCCCGGGAGATAGTCCACCTAGAATCCAAAGCAAATTGGGTGAAAATAAGAAGTGGGCTAACTTTCGGTGGGCAATAAAAAAAAAGTTTAGAAAATGCTATTTTAAGTTTTTGTGACCTGCAAAACTTTTAATCGCAGGAAGGGCCGATAAACCAGGCTTCGTCGTAGGAACCAGCGATGAAGACTGACATCTGACATCCTATGCAGGGGCCCTACTTTCTCTTATTGACATTAGCAATCCACTGAACAACATTGTTTTATCCATAGAACTGTTATTTTTTTATGATTTTGTTATGTACAATTATCAAATTTCTAGGCCTGACTAGCTTGAAAATTCTGCTGTGCAAAACAATGCACCTTTTTCCAGTGAGCTTCTCTGCATGCATACACCCTCTCCCTTGCCCTTGCTTCTCGCTGTCACCATTTTTGCAGGGTACAGTTCCGCCTGACCAACATATTCACCACATATTTTTATGTGTCTGTCGTTTTTCTTGACAATTCCTTTTTAGCCATAAGTAGTATGGGGCATAAAAAGCAATGGAAACCGATACGACTGCACAATGCCAATCTGTTCTGACAGGTGGAGGCATGTTGAGCTGTCCTTCATTTGTAGTTCACGGGTAACTCCCCAGATGGTGCCTGTGATTCGGAGAATGTCTATTAAACACTAACACCCCCCAAAAACATTTTTTAATTTTTTGCAGGGCAATTTATGATGGTGTCGGAAGACTACCCAAATAATATTTTGTAACAGAGTCACGCATAATTTTATTGAAGCTGAAAAATGCAGCTGCTTGAAAACAAAACCGAAACCCGTGCACAGTGGTCGGAGAAGTGGAGAGGAGAGAGTGAGTGGTGGAATTTAGGTGGCTGCCAGCTGACCGTGCGCTTTTTTCTTTCTCCTTCCGTTTCTTTTTCTTTTTCTGCGTAGCATATGACATGTGTGGCGGGGAACTATTAGCTGTGCGATTCCTTTGCAGTTATGTTTGTTCCGCTCACTGCTCTGCAGTTCAAGTTGAGTTGTTTTGTACATTGAAGAGTTGGAGATGAGCAGTGAGTGCCCGTGGTGAATACCCGAGATCGGCTCCGAAAAGATTACTACGAAGATGTTGCGTGAAGAGCTGCCTCACAGGTTCTGCGTTCGAAAAGAAGTGGCATTGTGTAACAGATTTTCCGAAAGATCAACGGGATCGGGACCAATGGCTGGCCGCAATTCCTGTAGAATATTTACGGGCACCTCGGAAAGCGGACGCTACCCGATTTATATGCTCCTTGCATTTTGTGGAAAGTGGTTACATTGAGTTCGCAGGTGTCCAAAAGGAATTCCCGTACCATTTAGTTCAGCGATGTTTCGTCCACAACATTTTTTTTTTAGTGATCAACGTAAAAAAAAAAAAGAAATGTAAATATCGCAAACTGTTTGAAAAAAACAAAACAAATAATGGTACGCTTACACTCGGCACTGAACCTGTGTCTGCTGCCTGTGAAGCGGACATCTTCCCACTGAGCTGCTGGGGAAACTCTCCGAAGTAACGCAGCCGGTCGACTGTAGGTCGGAAACTTTGCTTCCAATTTCGCTCCAGCAAAGGCACTCCTGGGTCGAAGTCGGGCTGCACCACGCATTGGCCACATTCGCACCTAGGAAAGAAATCGTACGCGTGCATATTCAACTCCAAGTATGCACTTTGTTCTTGAGGTTTGCGCGAGCGATGTCTTCAGCCCCGAGAAGGGGGCGACGGCTCGGCAATGTCTTAGTGCAAATCGGCTTGGTGGTGAGGCGTGTCGTACGGGATGAATACCAATTCTTTTGATTGGTCCAAAATTTACTTTTCAAAGGAAGACAGAATTTGCCGGTGCCGCGAACGACAGTTCTAAAGTAGAGATTTTACACCCTTCGTCCGCTGCCATCGCCGTCCCCGCGAGTCCCGTGATACGCGAAACGACGCCATGTTGAGAATGATGCAGTAAGTGCACAAAATGCTTCCGGTTCTCTGTGCAACTTTCGCTTCAATCAATCTATTTGCAGCTTTTTAGAAACCACAAAAAATGGGTTTCATATTTTTTTCTATTTTTGATATTGAGTGTGTGCCTTCAATTACCAACGACTTTGATTAAATTTGGTGGTTCTGTCTAAACCTTAGAAAAGGGCCACTGACCACAGAAAAGAGAGTGAGCGCGACTCAGACCGGCCAGTTCTTGATCGGCGGTTTTTGGGCGAAAAGAAACGGAATTTCGAGCCGCAAATTCTGTTCTGGGTAGTTGGGCTCTCATATGTCACGTACAACTAAAAACCCGGGTGAGCATAACTACCCTGTCAGTGTCCCTTTAAGACGACTTGGACTTCACTTTGCGTCATCAGTTTGGAACCGTCATGTCAGCTCGCCCGTCCTTGGATGTTTTAAGGCCATCCTAAATCGTTTCATGTATTTTATTTTTTGCAACTGCTCCTTTACTGCTTGTGTCAGTGTAACCAGGTGTAATCTTTGCTCAACCGATATTTCACCACAGCGTAAAATCTCTCGTCTTTGCCTTTTTCACAAACTCCATCCTTCTGACTGGACATTTAATGATTTTGTTTTGTTGGCGCTGTTGTACCAATTTTGACTTTGTCTTCCTCTTAAAACATCCACCATTCGGAACCACGTTGACCGAAGGCGCTGGTTATTGACGACATCGCGTGCGCTCGCTTGACGCTGTGACTGGCCGTTACGCTTCACTGTCCTTCTCCCAGCCCTTTCTCCCCCCCGTTGCATTGCATGACACCAGTGAGCTTCTCTGCATGCATGCACCATCTCCCTTGCCCTTGCTTCCCGCTGTCACCACTTTCGCAGGTTACAGTTCCGCCCGAGTGTCTGTTTAAGTAGAAACACCACCCAACCTCTGTCGCTTCATCACTAATGCCAGTGTCTTCAAATCTGCCATTTAGGATCATTCGATGTAAACCCCTTCTTTGTTTGCTTTTTTTTTTTTTTTTGTTTTTCTTCGCCCACTTTTTTGTGTAATGTTATTGCTTTGAGAACAAGCAGATGAATACAATAAATAAACATTGTCGATTATCCTAGCCATGCTGTTAGCAAAAACCATACCACAAATGTCTATTTAAGTAGAAACACCACAAAGCAGACGAGAAAATTTGAGAAAAATTAGAGTGATATTCGATGCACTTACGGGGCTACCTGCTCTTTATATCTCGAAAGAATTTGGAGAAATGTTTATTGTGTTTGCGACTTTTTTGGCTTCGGAGACACATATTTCCTCTTAAAGGAATTCTCCCCTCAACTGTCGTTGCAACTCGCACGTGCTGCAGGGAGGCCAGAAGCTGCAGAAGGAGTCTGCGATGTGCATTGTTTCCTGTGCGGACGGTTCGGAGTACACGCTGGTCAGCACCGTTCCTGGCGCGCTCATGGAGGTCAACGACCGGCTCACCACGGCCCCTGAGCTCCTCACCCAAAAGGTAAGGCACCTCCCGCAGACAGTTTATGAGGCGGCGGTGCACTCAAGTCTCACTAACTGCCCGAGTTACGACACTGTGGTGCATGCAACGCGTCGCCCACCAGCGTGATTATTACGTCCCAATGAGTGGTCTCTCGATTTACTCCTGATGACATTGTAGAGGCGTCGCAGACCGCGATCCTGGCGGTGTAGCGGCAGCAGTGGTGGACGCAACTGGTATCTAATTATTACGTGATTGAACAATTAATTGGCAATTACTGACTTAGGTAATAAACAAAATGCTCCGTGGTCCTAAACGACTCCCACTGTCCTTTAATAGCCCTATTCCCTCGCCGCGACGTCGGGGTCTTTTAAGTGTTTCCTACGGGTTCGGGCCCGGGGTCCACTCCCAATTTCGGGTGTGCGCTTTAATCCTCACCATCAATTATGCTGGTGTGCCACCTGCTGCAAAAAGATGGAGGCTATTTTTGCGCCATCTGTCGAAGGTAAATGAACTTGCGGAACGCTGTCATTTTATCGTTCGTGGGATTGCATCGCGCGGGCGTCATCTGAATAGAAAATATTGATCCTTGTTATTAGACACTCAGTCCGCTTTGGACCCTGTTCTAGATCAGTCGTTCAAAATGAGCGTCAATTTTATGTGAACCTTTTCCCGAATGCCTCCTTTAGGATATTTTACGCTAATACTTTAAGTAAATTTAAAGTGCAATTGATTCATCCTATCCAGCTAAATGAACCTTAAGAGGTGGCCCTAGGAGAATTAAATTTTTCATTTAGCATAAAGAGTCTACAAGACCGTCTAACGAGATTTTTTATTATTCTAACTAATGCTGGAAAAGTTGAAACAAGCAAGAAATATTCAAATTCCAGCAAAGCAGGGCTTTATTTTGTTAGTGAAAGCTGCACTGAAGGAACTGTTTGGTCCAAAAGTGAGCCTTGACAGAAAAGAAAATTCCTATTACTTATGTTTCCAGTGAAATAATGAATTACACATGTCGTCGTCCTTGGCTAAAAAGCTCGGTTTTCCAAAGAAAACTTTTGCAACCGGTCAGGCTGTGTGGAAGGTCCCCTCTTGTCATATAAGGTATATTCAATCAAGGGGTTGAGATAGAGCTGTCTAAGGTTAAGCATGTCGTGAAGCAGGAACACATGTGGATCATGAGGGTTTTTACAAATCAGCAGAAGACCTGATCCCAGTTATACATAATGCATACCAATCCCACTTCTATCTTCATAAGTCAAAAATACTCCTTCATTATAATCTCTCTGTTAAGGTTGTAGAGTTACAGATGCATGTCAATGGATGTATAGTGCAGGGGAGGACCGGCTGCGCCATTTGCGCTCTTTTGCGCCAGACGCATGTGTCTGCACCATTCTGCGCCATGTTGCAGAAACTGCGCCACAGCCAATACCTCGCGCCATTATGCGCCAAATCGCAAAACGTGTGCCAAAAAACTTTTTATTTTGTCTTGGTTTTGGTTTTTATCGACTCGATTGCCAACAATGCGGGCGTTTAACCAGGTCGGCCTTGCAATCCTTAGTCAGAAGCGCGCGAAAAAACTCGGATTCTAAGTGCTACACCACCTGCGACTGGATTTTTATTCTTCAACCATAAGTGGTTAAGCAAGTCGGCCGAGGTGAGGTCGGGTCGTTAAGCAACAGATTGCCTGAAACTCTGTGGCCCGGGATCCAGACGTTATCCAGTTGAATGCAAATGAGCAAAATATTCCTTTTAGTACTTCATCGTTAGAAGCTGGAACCGCATACTCGGAAGATAAATCGTGATTTGATAGAACTGAAACGCAGTCCGATCCAAAACCTTGCCGGCCAGCAGCTCTTATGCGAGCGGTAGATCTGCTCGACATACTTTAACCTTGCTCCTGCTTATTGTTTCAAATACGATAACTTTGTTAATCATAGTCTGCTGCTTTGATATCGAGTTGCAAAATAGGATAAACTCAAAATTTGTTGCCCTGTTCCTCCGTGTAACTGCACATCTGTTGCTTACGCACGTCACATGGTTCGCACATATAATTACTGTGTCGAGCACGTGTGGGTTGGGTGATAAGCAGTGCTGGTTGGCATCTTGAGCACCTGAAAGCCACTCAGAAAATATCAAGGATGGTATCTTCAGAAACATGTGGTACTTTGTTTTTGATTCTCATTAAGGCTCACAAAGTTTCCAGTTTTCGCATCTGTTACATTGTTGTCCCATCTACATAGGTCCTTAACCACACATGTTCATCTCTGCTGCTAAGCACAATTGAAATTGCTCCCTTGCTCGTCTAAGACACAAGCTGAAGTGCAATGAAAACTGATCTGAGCTGCTCCTAGCCTGCTCCAGAATATAGTTTTAGCTGCTCCCAACCTGCTCCAAAACAGTTTTTTCAGCTGCTGCCGTGGCTGAACCCAAGTACATTTCATGAGTTCCACCCCTGATAGTGATCAACTCCCATTTATCACATATGCTTGGGCTTGGTAAAAGAAGCAATAGCGTATATACATCTTTTTCCGTGGCAGACACCGACGTCATCAATGAAGCAGAACACTTTGGGGGTGTTAAAGCTTGAGACTGGTTTCTTTTGCTGTAAAAAAACAAAATAGAATGGTAACATATTTGTTTAACTTGTTAAAGTGTATGAGGGAGATCGTAAAAGAGCTCAGCACTATTTGCTTGGAACTTGTTGTTGAGAATGGAACTTTCATTCCATTTCTAGATAGATTGGGTCGTGTGGCAGCCACCCTTCATTTTCGAAAATGCTCATGAGGTTTTCTGCTATAAAAAGATGGCAGTAAAGAATAGTTCAGTCATTTTTTTTTTAACTGCTCAATGAAAGAGGAGGTGTTTTTTTTTAGATTATGCATGTAAGACAAGCTCCATGCTGTTTGTCCCATTTTTCTGGCTCTGGAGATCAGAATTTGCCTCACTATGAAGGCGGGCCTTTTTTCCTGGTAGGTAGTGGCTTCCTCATGGACATGTATCGGAGATAATATCCTATAATTACTAAGCAAGTGGCCCCGTATCTAGGTCAAAAGCTTCTATCTACAGGTAAACATGTGGCCGAACAAATGAGACAAGGGTCATCTTTCAAAGACGTCATGAGGAAAGGTATTGGACGCATACCATACAACAAGCGGCAAACTTTTGCATAAGCTTGCAGGAATATTTTTTTTAGTTTTGAGGTGTTTGCTAGAAAATAGTCAAAGATAACTAAAGCACTTTTCGGGATCCAAGTTTTCGAGAATATTTTGAATAAATGTTACATCTGGATGTTTCCTGAAAAACATTTTTTGTAAAAGTAACCAAAAAATATTTCTTTCGGTTGGTTGTCAAACATTTTGTTTCGGCAACCGATTATGTTTTTCACCATAGTCGATTTGCCACATTGTGACGATCCACTAAATATTATTTTGCTCCATGGTTGAAAACGAAACTTCTCCCCCTCAGTTCCACAGCGTATGGCTGAAAATCATCCCGACGTCCACTAATGTATAAAAAAAGGAATTGCTGTTGCCCTGAAACTTTACCGCGCAACAAATAGTAAAATTGCGACAACATGTCCTGTAACCAACGCAGCGCCCGTGTCATTTATACGTCTTCATACGTCGAGAATGGGGAATACAAACACAGTCTTGATGGTGTGGATGAAACGCATTGAAAAAGTTTTGAAGTCGTCAGCAGGTCGCACGTGGAATGGTCAAACCTTGCAAAATCGTATCAACACGTACCCAAGTCAACAAAGCGGCCATATCATTTATACTTTCCACTTCGTTGACTATAGCTAATGCAAACGCTGTCTTTATGGTGCGAGGCACCGTTCAGGTCCCACTTGGAGCTTGTCTAGACTTGCATTTGACCTCATGAAGCTTACCTAGGGGAACCTGTCTAGGCTCGCTTTATCGAGAAAAAAGGAAACGCGTGGAAGCAACGTCGACTTCCTGAATTAAAAGAAATCGGCTAGATGGAAGGAGAACAAGAATGTCTGACAAATCAATTCTATGATTAAGTGACAGCACTCCTTTTTGCAAAATACTTTTGCAACTTTCTACGCATGTACTCGTTGTTCATGCTCGAGCCCCTACGACATCACCCGCGGCCAATGGAAAATGCAGGTGCCTCACTCTCTGCTTTAGACGGGTCGTTTAAACAGAAAGTAGGACAGTCTCCACTGTATGTCTGTCTTTTCCTTCTAGTGGAAATTTTGTTTCAGCTTTTGGACAAGCCATTTTTAAGAATTTCTGGATCTGGATAAGCAGCTGCGCAAAACTTCAAGCACACTACGAGATGCCTTAGGCCTTCTCTGTGACCAAGACGTTTTGTCGGCCCTTCGGAAGAAAACAAGTCTTCGGGGAGGACCTTCACTGTGAGAACCTCCAATGCCTGATTTAGCTCTGTAAACTAAAAGAATTGGAAAAATGTCCGCAATCCAGCTTCATAGAAATATCCAAAGTACCGTCGGATGTGAAAATTGTGGTTCTAGAAATCGTAAGAACAGAAACTAAATGTGGAGAGAGAACATTTGTAAAGCTCCTCATTGAGGACGAACTCAAGCAGGTTTTTCTCCCAAAGAGAATTGGAGAACTGACAGAGAAAGATTTTGAGGAACTATCGAAAATAAGAGATCTCTTGATGGAAAAGAGAAGTGTAAACTTGACTGGCATTAGAGCATTGAGCTCGGGAGTTACAGCTGCCAGGAAGGCTCTCGGAAAAGACCTGCACAACAGGACCGCCCTTAGTGTGGAGGAACTGTGCCGCCTCCTTGAATTCTGCCTTAGCAACACCTACTTTAGCGTCAAGGGAGAGTATTTTAAACAAGCCAGCGGAACCGCCATGGGTGCCTCTGTCTCCGTTACCACGGCTAACCTGTGCATGGAAGCCATTGAGGAAGAGGCCCTGCAGTCATTCGCCACTGCGCCCAAAATATTTGTGCGGTATGTGGACGACTGCTTCTGCATCCTTCAAAGATCTGAAGTGGACAGATTCCTCTCACACCTCAACTC